GATTACTTTAGGTAATCTCATGCCTCACTCAAACTTTATAAAGCATAAATCCGTCTTCTCACAACTATTAATAAGTACTTCATACTTATTAATCGTTTATATATTTCGTTCTAGTTTATTCATCATAACTAGATTTAATTTAAAGACATGTATGATTAAGTACTTGAATCCTTCAAGAATACCATCTTGAATTATTTTAGTTAATGTCCAACTAAATCATTCATGATTATCGTTCATCAAAATATTAATAATTCTTTTACTCATTATTCATTACATTTTCACATAACTTATAATCATTATAGCTAATCACTTGTTTAAACACTTTAAACATTTCTATACATATTCACATACTAGATTACTCTAGTTATCTCATACATAGTTCATGTATGCATTTTTATACATTTGACAATAATATATTCATGATTAATCCACAAATAAATCTCTTATTCATTAATCATGTAATATTTCCATAAATCATATTCACCATGACTAATCATGCATTTTAGTCCATTTAATCATTCCTCAAATCATGATTATGATTTTATTTAGGTAATCCCACGTTTGACCCAAGAGTTACAAGACACGTAGTCGTCCACTCACCTCGAAATGACGCTAGCGAGCTTTTATCCTCTTTGTTGAACTCCGGCGACTTTTGGAATTTTCCGGGGAAAACTCTGGCGGCTACGACGACTTTTCCAGTCACTCCTAGATTCCTTGAGAAGTCTCGAATACCTTGATAAAATTCCTAACAAGGTTTCACAACCCAAAAGTTGTATAAACATTAAAACCATCCGAGAAGGTATTTTCCAGCAAACCGGTCTTACTCCGATCATAAATCCGTTCATGGTTAAAACTAACCTTCCAACCCCTCATTCTACACCTCTAGGGGTGTAGAACAAGCTTATGGTCTATCATATGATTTATAAAATCATATGAGATTAGATGAACGAAGGAAAAATACTAATGAAGTCATGGCCTTGATTTTTCCAAGTTTTTCTCTTCTTTTCTCATTCTTTCTTCTTCCTTGGACCTCAATTGGTTTGAACTTGCATCAACAATGGATGATGATGAATTTAAGAGGTTATCCTATCTTCCTTGATGGTTTGGGTCGAAGTAATGAGAGGGTGGGTGAGTGAGAATGTGTATCCTTTGTCATCAAGCCATAAGAATGTGGGGGGGTCCCTTTACCTTTCATTTGTGTCTCTCCCATCCCCTCACACATCACACACCTCATCCTCATGTTGACAACCCACAATATGGTCCTTGAGTGTATAAAATCGTACGTGGGTCGGCCCCCACTAATGTGGGAGGTCATCCTTAAAAGTCCCAAAGTGTACAATCGGTCCTGAAAGTTGTATTTTCCGGATTGTTTTAATTAAATTTCATTTTATCGGGTCAATTAAAATATATATATCACTCTTCCCATTGAAATTGGCATCTAGAATGAATATATATTACTCAACTTTAATTTAGTAGTCCCCGTAATTTATTTTGGGCAATTATCTGTTTAATTACCTATACTGGTAATGGGACCTTGTTTGATCGAAAGGCCAACTTTATGGCTCAACATTAATTTAAATCATCACATATATGTTATCTAGACCAAGATGAATATAATATGTGGTCCCATAAATATCGGATGGTCCCCGCTCCTAGTGTAGGCTCAACATGCAATTTACTTTTCAAGTAACAGTAAAAATGAGAACGCGTCATCTCGTAAATTCATTAGTCATTTCTCCTGACTCAATATGTGTTTTGATATTTTGTGACACTTTAATAAAATGTTACACTTCTTTTTAAGTGGTCCAAAATGTATGAGCAGATAAAATCTTATCGGTTTGTCCTCATACAAAAATATCTTCAAGGTAGGGTCCTCCAAAAGTACCCTCCTTTAATGCACCAATTTAATCATATATTTATCAACCCATTATATTGGATTCTTAAAATATTTATATTTCTCCTGTCATTAATTCATAGCCTTCCGAATTATTAATAGTCCAAGAATTAAGGGCTCACAATTATCGGATAGTGGCCCCGGCCCACTTGGCCGTCCAGTTGTCATTCCTTATATCAATGGGGTCCATGACACATTCCTACTATCAAAATAGTATTGTTTAGATCAACATAAATTTTTATACACTAAGAATACCACGGGTGGTCCCCGCTCCCGATGTGGGTCCCACGTCTGATAAAAAATCCTTTATTAATTTAAGACAAGAATTTTATCTTTCTAATTTATCAAGGCTACTCTAGTCTTGATTTACCTCCTTTAACCATGTACTTGATGAAAAAAAATTCTCTGGGTAAAAATTCGGGCCTGGTGTTACATCTTCGGGTCTGCCTATTCGCGTTGATCTCATCCCGGAGATCTCCCCCGCACGCGCTGCGGCGGTGGGATGAAACGGCGGCCGAAGAAGCTTCCTCACTGCGTTCGGCCCTAGAGGAGAGCCTTTCGTGGACAGAAACTCGCTGTTTACTCATTCGATTCATCACAAGAATCCTCGGGGTCATCCTGGAATGGCGGGAGCGTTGAGACCTGGCCGGTGGAGAACCTCTCTGCAGTTGAGGAGATATCTCCCCACCTTGTTGAGCTATGGATGGTGCTCGAGGGGGGGAAGGAGGCCTCCCAGCAGGATCATGGATAATACCTTGGAAAACGGTAGTCAGGGTCTCCACCGTTCTTTGAAATGTTGCCGAACTTGCTAGGGCTTGTGCCGGATCCACATTGGGAATATGGTGTCCGGTACCCGGTGTTTGAAACTGCGATGGCCGCACCGCCGTGCGCCTGGAACCCCCAGCGCCATGAAGATGACTCCTCAAGTCGCCTTGGGTCGTCGTGTTATTATTGTGTCTTCGGAAATCGCTCGTTGAGACCTCGAACCTTCGTCCTCGATCACGACTTGGTTGATATGATCGCCGCCTTGGCTGCTACCCATACGGTTGTGATTATTGGATCCAACCGTATGATGGAGTTTAATCCAACTACGAAAGCTAAATCTACTAAGATATCAAAATATGGTAGCGTAAGGCAGTATTGTTATTGTTCAGAAGAACGATTTACCGATCCCTTTACAGGGTATTTACAGGAAGTATTTATAGACTTTAGGAGTTAGTATTCTAGGAGGAAAACACTACATTAAATGTTATTAATTGTACATTAGTCCGAATGGAACTCCTGTAGCGATTTGGCCACTGTGCAACGATTATCTCCTTCAAGTCTACGTCTCCGGTTGAGTCCTGTCTGCTGCCAAATAGCTATGCTTAAATGATAGTCTGCCACGTAAACCCTAGGAATATCCCGCCCTCACTGGAACTCTGCCCAAGCTCGAGGTTTGCTGTCCAGCCCGGCTTGACTGTGGGTTCCTGTCGTGGGTCTGATCCCTAATCGGGCCTAGCGGCTTACTCAATGTGAATCCCGTTTATGGGCTAATCCTGTTAATTAGGCTAATCCCGCTCTGGACTTCGTAATTGGGCTTTGGTCAGGGTCCATGGTACCTTTAGATAGTATTCAGGATTAACAGTTTGAGCCTGATACTATTCATAGGTATAGGGAGGTGGTTTAGGAAGTGAGCCATCAAGAATTCCCATGAGACCATTAGAAACAAAAAAAAGACTCAAATTGAGTTCGCCAGGGAAAATAATCCTCAATAGTCGATAATTTCGTGGATGCCTAGATGATAAAATATTTTCAATAAGAAGCAGATCAAAATTCTAGGATTTTTCATTTTCGTAGGTCATTTGTGGCACGCAGGAAGGGCTCCTGCAGCTGCAGCCGGATTTGAAAAAGGAATTGATCCTGATTTCGAACCTGTTCTTTCTATGACCCCTCTCCTTTGAGCTAAAGCAATGAATGACTCTGGCATAGGTGGGACAACCGAACAACGGCCGACTGACCCAGACTGATGTGGAAGCACAAGACCCTGACTGTCGGATAGGGTCGGCAAACCGGTCACGAATAGCCGTTGCAGCACTGGAGTCAGTCTGAGACTCCATGGAATGCCTTGTTGTTGGCCGAAGAGTGGGATGCGTGAGTGTCCATGTGAAGATAGGAGGGACCAAGGAAGAAGTCACCGATGTAGAGATAACCGCAGAGGATAACGGTGATAACGGAAGCCGCTGAAGAGTCGACTTCATCGTCTGCGTCATAGTGGCGGCAGGCTACGTGACTGTTGCGCTCAGAACCGTCGGATCGCTCACCAGCGGCGTTGATGCAGCTGCGGTGGAAGTCAATGGAGTGGCAGCGGCGGTGTTCATATACATCATGGGAACCGGGAAAAAAATAATACTTGCTAAACCCTAAAGCTCTGGATACCAATGTGGTAACCCTGAGTGTCATATATATAATAGAGAAGTGTTTAGAATACATAAGGAAACCTAATATACAAGGAACCTAATACATAGTGAAACTAATTAAAATAGGAAAATCCTATTAGGATAATAAATGCATTATTAACTACACCATATATATTTTGGTTTTATTTGAATCCGAATCAGTTTAAAAGAGGAGTTGGCGAATTCTCTGTTGAAAATGGGATCAAATAGAAACCGGATCGGATTTACAAAAATAACAGAAACCGTTCCGTACGTTTTTCAATTTTTATTTGGAATCTGAAACGGTTTATCCGGTTCAAAACCAAAACCGAGCTGCAAAACCGGTATAGAACTATCAACATTTTCTCTTTCACAAACATACAACTAATATTAATCAGTAACTAGACGTAATATCCATGTGATGCACGGGTACATCCGGAGAAGAAGAATAACTTATTTAAAATTAGCTTTTATTATGATAGCAGGTACTATGAAATTATTTTAAATAAAAATATATAGTAGAGTTTATATGTTGTAACTTTGATTATAATGATAGTTGTGAGGAAACGAAAAAATGCATGTTGATCGTATGGAAAATTGCAAGTCAATTTAAAATAAAAGGTTAGGTGGAAGAATAAGTATTACTACGTACTTGATAGTAAAATAGCATGATTCTACAATTTAATTGTCTCCTTCGACGGCGGTAAGAAAGCTTTACAAAATTGAACAGTCATATGTGTTGGCACTGTACAAAAAAGATCATAGCTTTCGCACAAGTTCTTTATAAACCATATTATCTGTATCGTTGATAGCCCAACCCTCTTAATCACGTATAAAAAAATATTCAACTCACTCCTTGAGGTGACCCTTGACGTGACAACGTACAACTGACTTGTGATCCTTGACTTGACATCTGTCACGCCTGGACCTTAACGGACACATCAACAACCGTCGTACAATCTAGATAAGTCAACCACGATCAACCTTACCCAAACCATACAAGGCATAATGAATATCATACACTTATAGTGATCCATAAACAAACATAATAAGCAATTCAATACACATCGGAAAGTATAGTTTAAAACCAAATGCCACATGAGGCAACCATGAGCACTCAGGCTCTAAAGTAAAATATCCATGAGCATGGAGGAAGCATGAACCAAGTCTCCTCTCCTTTATGATCTTCCAAGGAAAAAGTACAGGAAACAAGTTCTAGCCTCAACCTGAAATGATGGTTGGACGCCCCCGAAGGGGTCAGTACTCTATAGAGCTATAAAGTACTAATGTGGATGACATCTAATAGATATACAACAAGTATTTCAAACACAAGACCCTAAAATAGGGTGATAGTACAATATGGGTCGTAACCCCAAGTTACGCTGTTTGAAAATACTTACTTTATATAAAGTCAAGTAGTCGGCCCGTGGGCCCATGTTCATTTGAAAACACCTCCCCTAGCCCCGTGACTACTAGTCACAACAATCATAGAGTTCAACACATCACAACTGCATATCAAGAGCTCGGCCCTACTATATCTCTATGCAATCATTTAAATCAAATTCAACACATCACAATTGCATAGCGAGAGTTCGGCCCTACTATATCTCTATGCAATCATTTAACTCAAATTTAACACATCACAATCGCATAGCAAGAGCTCGGCCCTACTATATTTTTATGCAATCATAGAGCTCGGCTCTAATTCACATCATACAAGTCACAGACTCAGGTTCAACACATCACAATTGCACGGCAAGAGCTTGGCCCTACTACGTTTCCATGCAATCATAGAGCTCGACTCTAATTTAATCATAACCCCATTCATAAGAAATTCCTATGCCTAGAATTGACATATCAATAAACTATTTTGGGTTATCCATAAGGACTGTCCATACCTGATCTTAGCTTATACTAAATCAATTTAGACACTTGAAGTATATTCAAGTGCTTCACATACAATCCAAACTTTAGGATCAATTCTAATAAACATTTACAAACAATCATTAACTAGTATCTCAATACTATTAAGATTATTCTTATCAAATCAAATATTCTTATTTATGAATCTCAACATATTTGGAGATATGTGGCAGCAACCTAAGTATCCAATTTCAATGTATAAATATTCATTTATATATCTACACAACTCATACGTGAGTAAAAATGCCCATTTTATCATAATAGTTCATTAAATCATTAATGGCTCGTTTAACTCCATATTATCAATACAGCGTCAAATCATTATCAAGTTCATTCCTTATCAAATATATCCATATTCTATCAATATCTAAGCATCATAATCCATGAAAACATTATTTAGACATTTAGGCCATCTCATGCTTAACCTATAAATTGTAAGCAACTAGATGTCGATCCTCACCTCAAATGAGCTTCTAACTTTCCTTTCTCAATCCAATGGTCAAAACTTTGTCCAAGGAAGGTTGAGAACTGATTCCTTGATTAGAAATGAGTGCTAGGTAGCCTCCTCAATTTGCTAGCTCCTCCCCTAACCAATGGTATGAAAACAATCCTACAAAGAGTGTTTTCCGACGAAATCGTTTCCCTTTCAAGGTTTTTTTTACCCGGTAAGGTTCCACACTCCAATGGAGCTTGGGGTGGGGCCCAAGGAACACCCCACCAATTTATTAGAATAAAGAGAGGTTACACAGAGTAGGAGGGCCAAGCCAAAGCCTACTCAATTAAAAAGCATAAGGGTAACTAATTGCATCAAATTTAAGGATACCGACAAAATTATTAAAATGATGAGTATTGGTTTTAATCGAAGCGTTCTGGTAAACAATATACTCGGCAACTTTGTTAATGCTTGGGTGAATGTGGGCCACTGTCCAATTGCATCCTGTGAGGTTTTTCTTGATGATTTGGATCCTGGACCAGTATCTCCAATGCTGGATGGTTAGACCCGTAATGCCTTCATAAGTGTCTTTCATGTTCACCTCCAAAACAAAATTAATAAAGTAAGCGTTCTTAAGGATTTGGATAAAATAAATCATACCATTATACAAGGCCATTGTATGGTCTGGCTGCTTAGAAAGGGGAGTCGCATGACCAACATAATTATCGTGCTCATCACGTATGAGAGCAGCATAACGGTTAAGGTTTGGGTTGAGTTTGCCGATGGCCAAATTGATTTTGTAATAAGAGTTGGGGGGGCTTGGTCCATGCCTTAAGCTGGTTGGGTGTGGCTGTCATCTTAGGGGGGCACATAATAATATTAAAGGGGGGATTTGAGGCTTTGCTTATAAAATTCTAGGCAATGGATACAACAAAAATATCAGTTTTAATAGTATTAATCACCTCACACAGATTGACCTTTTTTATTATCATACATGTAAGTGTTCCGACTTAATCTTTCCCGCTGATTTTTATGTTCTCGAAATGGAGAACGATAAAAATGCAGTCCCAATTTTGTTAGGGAGACCCTTCTTGAAAACGGCTAAGTCAAAAATAGATGTTTGGAGTGGGGTGTTAACCATGGAGTTCGATGATGAAAAAGTCAAATTTAATATATATGACTCCATGAAATACCCCACCGATAATCATTCTCTTTTTGCAATAGACACTTGTGACACTTGGGTCCAAGATGTGTTTGAAGTTGAGGGGAAAGACGAATTACTAACCTCAATCGAAAACGATATAGAGGATTCCACTTTGGAATACTCTATGTCAAATAACATAAAGGTTATGGTGGCAGAGTTAAATCAACTCCCATTTTTGTCACCGGGCTCTAAAGCCCTTCCTCTAACCATGCCGAGCGAGAAGCCTTTGCCTTCAGTTTTGCAGGCACCCGAAGTTGAGATGAAACCACTCCCAAAGCACTTGAAATATGTGTTCTTGGGAGAAAAAGAAACACTACCGGTCATCATTTCAAACAAATTGACCGAAGAGCAAGAAGGAAGGTTGATAGCGGTACTCAAGGAGTACAAGCTTGCAATTGGATGGACTATAGCCGACATCAAAGGCATTAGTTCATCAACATGCATGCACCGCATCTTGATGGAGGATGAAGCTAAACCGGTGAGACAATCGGAAAGGAGATTGAACCCCCCTATGATGGAGGTGGTCAAGAAGGAGGTGATCAAGCTACTACAAATGGGGATAATCTTCCCCATTTCCGATTCAAAATGGGTGAATCCAACCCAAGTTGTTCCTAAGAGGACCGGAGTCACGGTGGTGGAGAACAAGCATGGAGAACTTATGCCCACCCGAATTCAAAATGGGTGGAGGGTATGCATAGATTACCGTAGACTCAATGCAGTAACTAGAAAGGATTTCTTTCCTTTACCCTTCATTGATCAATTGCTTGAGAGACTTGCCGGGCATAAATTCTATTGTTTCCTTGATGGTTACTCTGGGTACTTTCAAGTACCCATAGCCCCCGAAGATCAGGAGAAGACCACTTTCACTTGTCCATTTGGGACCTTTGCATATCGACGCATGCCATTCGGACTATGCAATGCTCCAGCCACATTCCAAAGATGCATGATGAGCATATTCTCTGAATATGTTGAACTATTTATGGAAGTCTTCATGGATGATTTTACAATCCATGGAGACTCATTTGATTCATGCTTACTTCATCTCTCTCTTGTATTGAAAAGTTGTTTAGAATCAAATCTTGTTCTAAACACTGAAAAATGCCACTTTATGGTGGAGGAAGGAATTGTTCTAGGCCACGTGATCTCATCCAAAGGGATAGAGGTAGACAAGGCTAAAGTTGAAGTCATCCAATCACTCCCTTATCCTACTACCGTTAGGGAGATACGGTCATTCCTTGGACATGCAGGTTTCTACCGAAGGTTTATCAAAGACTTCTCAAAAATTGCATCTCCTTTGTGCACACTTTTGCAAAAGGAGGTGGAATTTATCTTTTCAGAGGAATGCAAAAAGGCCTTCAACACTTTGACGGAGAAACTTGTTACCGCCCCTATCATTCAAGCACCCGATTGGTCTCTCCCTTTTGAGATCATGTGTGATGCTAGTGATTATGCAGTGGGGGCCGTCTTGGGCCAAAAAGTTGGAAGAGCATCTCATGTGATCTACTATGCATCAACAACTCTCAATGATGCCCAACGCAATTACGCCACCACCGAGAAGGAGATGCTACTCGTCATCTATGCACTTGAAAAATTCAGGTCATACTTACTTGGAACCAAAGTGATCATCTATACCGATCACACAGCTCTTAGGTTCTTGATGACAAAAAAAGAGGCGAAGCCGAGGTTGATCTGATGGATCCTTCTCTTGAGCGAGTTTGATGTCGAAATCAAAGACAAGAAAAGCATGGAGAACTTGGTGGCCGACCACTTGAGCCGACTCGTTCTTAACGAAGGAAATGATCATTCTAAGGATGATATCCAAGGGGGATTTCCCGATGAGACTCTTTTCTCTCTAAAGGGAATTCGCCCTTGGTACGCTCACATTGTTAATTTCCTTGTCTCAAACAGGTTCCCACCAAGCTTCTCTAAATCTCAAAGAGAGAAACTCCAACATGACGCCAAACAATACGTGTGGGATGAGCCATATCTATGGAAACATTGTGAGGACCAAGTTATTCGGCGATGCATCCCTGAAACCGAGATAGCATCCATCATTGCATTTTGCCATTCACACGCTTGCGGAGGACACTTCGGAGGCAAGCGTACATCAATGAAGGTACTTGAATGCGGTTTTTGGTGGCCTAGCTTGTTTCGAGATGCTCATGTCTACTGTCAATCTTGTGACAACTGTCAACACATGGGAAACATCTCTCGGAAGCATGAGATGCCTCAAGTCCCGATGCTCTATGTAGAAATCTTTGATGTGTGGGGTATAGATTTCATGGGACCTTTTCCAAACTCCCATGGCAATCTATACATTCTCTTGGCGGTGGACTACGTTTCAAAATGGGTGGAAGCAAGACCCGCCAAAACCGACGATGCCAAAGTAGTGGCAGACTTTCTCAAATCTCGCATCTTCTCAAGGTTTGGAGTCCCACAAATTTTAATAAGTGACAGGGGCACTCACTTCTACAACAAAACTGTGAGTGCCTTGTTAAAGAAATATGGCATCACCCAGAAACTCTCTACCGCCTACCATCCACACAAAAACGGCCAAGCCGAGGCTTCGAATAGAGAGTTGAAGTCTATACTCCAAAAGACGGTGAACCCAAATCGCAAGGACTGGAGTCTACGCATGGATGATGCCTTATGGGCATATAGAACCGCTTTCAAGACCCCAATTGGAATGTCACCTTATCGACTCGTGTTCGGGAAGGCCTGTCACCTTCTGGTAGAACTCGAAAATAAGTCTTATTGGGAAGTGAAAACATTCAACATTGACATGGAGAAAGCAGGTGAACAAAGGAGGCTACAACTTCAAGAACTTGAGGAGCTCCGCCTTGAATCATATGAGAACGCCGCCATCTACAAAGAGAAGACGAAGTTATGGCATGATAAAATGATAACAAGAAAGGATTTCCAAATTGGAGACAAAGTCCTTCTTTTTAGATCACGCCTTCGTCTTTTCCCCGGTAAGTTAAGATCATGGTGGGAAGGACCATTTGAAGTGGTCAAGGTCTACTCACATGGAGCGGTTGAGATCAAAAGCCTTGACACCAATAAAATCTTCAAGGTTAACGGACATCAACTCAAACCGTTCCTTGAAGGTTTCCAAAAAGAAAGCATTGAACGCATGGATCTTTTCGATCCAGTCTATGAAAGATGAACATTACCATGGCTTCGTGCCGCGACGTTAACTAACGCGCTTCTTGGGAGGCAACCCAAGCAAGGTACGTAGATTTTCTTTTAATTTGTTTTAAAGTTTCATTTGCTGTCTTGAGAGAACGGGAGAGAGGGAACTAATCACTTGTTTCAAGGGAGAATAAAATGCAGGTTACTGATGATCTGGGATATACCCGATCGAGTACCACATGGTACTCGGTCGGGTATGGCTCAAAATGGGGGACCGAATCACTACTCGATCGAAGGAGAGTAAATTTTTCAAAAAAACATGTATACCCGATCGGGTACAAATACATACCCGGTTGAGTATACATAGAAAAGCAAAGCTAAAAGGAACCTGCCCCGGACACTCGATCGAGTACGGGGTTCAAATATTGCAAAAGGAAGAATACTCGATCGGGTATCACTACACACCCGGTCGAGTATGTTCAGAAGGACGAAACCAAATAGAGCCTGCTCCCAGCACTCGACCGAGTACAGGGCTCAAAATGTGAAAAAAGAAACATACCCGATCGGGTATGACTATACACCCGGTCGGGTATTGCTGGAATTTCAAAAGCCCAAATAAACTGTCTCCAATATCCGATCGGGTATGGCAAGATACTCGATCGAGTATGGCTGGAAAACCGAAGTCCTGAACAAACTGTCTTCAGTACCCGATCGGGTATCACACAATACTCGATCGGGTATACCTGCGTTTTAACCCCAAAACAGCCCGAATCACTTCATCTTCCCCATTGCAACCCAATTTTCGAACCCTCTTCCCCAAACTCCATTTTCGAACCTTCTCTCTACCATATCTCCCTCATTTCTCCATCAAATCACCCCATTCTTCCACCAAAATACTCCCCTCACCTTCCTCTACACACCCATACCCATAAACCCAGTTTTCCCCAATTTCCAAAGGTCCGAAAAAACCCTAACCTACTTTCAATTTTTCCCAATTTCAAGCTCCAAATCTACAAAAATGGCACCAAGAAAGGACAAAGGGCAGAGCTCAAGGGCTATGGAACCCATCCCGGGCTACGAGGACCTCATTTTCGCCGACAACGAACACTGAGCTCGGTTCATCACTACAATTACAAGGCAAGTAAAACCTTCCCGTTTTTTATGCCATGATGCATGCTCTCCGTGAACTAGGCATTTATAGGAGTACCAAGCAATTCTTTCGTGAGTTGGACATGAACCGTATTTTCAAAATGAAATACAACTCTAACGAAAGAATTGTCTATGAATTCATGAGCTCGGTGAAATTTGAGATCGATGAGGCTGATTTTAGAGATGACAAACTCACATTTCGTTTGTTTAACCACACCTATTCAATAACGAAACATGAGTTTGCCGAACATTTTGGCATCCCCGTCCCCTACGAAAAAGCCATCTCCGACAACAACATTTTCGGTCATTCACTGTGGACCAAGATGACCGGAGAAATGAACTTTAGCTCCTCCCAACTATATATTAGTCATGTCTAACATCCCGTCCTCCAATTGTTCTTAAATTTTTTAGCAAACTGTTTGCTTGGGCACCCCAACAATCACCACACTAGGATGGGGGATGTGTGCTTGATGTCGGTGGCTCTATTCCGTCGTCATGTGGACTTTAACTTGTGCAATCTCATGTGGGCACATTTAAAAAAGGAAAGCACAGTGAGGGGGGGCAATTGTTTTGGGTGGGGTGGTTATGCACTTAGCAAGTAAGTTCGGGTATACGGATAACTCTCCTATACCCGATTATTGTTTGATGGACATGGCTTGGTTAGGCCATTCAGGATGCACAGCTTTTTCCCACACGCTCTATGGTGGTGAACAACCGAAGAACATGTATAACTGGTTCATACACCCCAAGCCTATCAAACATTTCCTCTTGCCTAGCCCAGACCTTCCCAAACTACTCTACAAAGTAGAGGTAGAGGTTCCCCATTACCTATTTCCACACGCCCTTCCACCACATCTCCAAGAACCGCAACAAGAGCCACTCTAATATCAACCCGAGGACACACCTTATGCCGAACCCCATGATCATTAAGACGTGGACATCCCCGAGCAGCACCAAAACCCTCCTCCACCCAACTATTTCCAACAAATCTTGGAGGGTCAACAACAAATAATTGTCGGGTACAACCAAATGAACGCCAACTATATCACACATGGGAGAACGGCTCAACCAAGTGCATGAGGAGCAAAGGGCAGATTTTCAACAGATGGAGGAGCTCCGGGAAGCCGACATGCATCGATATGAAGAGGATCAACGTAGGTTCTACAGACCTATGTACTCTTACATAGCCCATTAAGGATCCTTTCAGACTATGGCGAACTACCCTCCACCACCCTCGTGGTATGACCCCACTCATTGGGGTAACTTTGGAGGATTTAGCTCCGGGGGTGGAGGGTACGATGGCGGGGACACATACATGGGAGATGGCGGGCAGGGGAGCGGTTTCGGAGGTAGCTTCTATGGCGGAGAAGGCGGACACTAGGGACAGTGCTTGCACTAAGTGTGGGGGAGAGACTCCTCATGGTATGTAATTTTATTTCTTCCCTTTCACTACGCATGAATTTCTTTTACCCTTGATACACACAAAAAAAGAAAAAAAAAGAATAAATAAAAGAAAAGAAATGCTAGTTAGGTTGAAAACCCAACAAAAATGGGCAATCTAAGCAAAAAGAGCTTATAAAAAATGAGTGAGTTGGGGAGAATGGAAAATAAAAAGAAATGCTATGATGAAAACCTGAAAAGGCTCCTAGGCAAAATGAGAGATATGAGAGAAATATTTGTTTTTGCAGGCACTCATTTGATCTCTTTGGAGAATAAGAAGATTCAAAAAGAAGAAGAAGAGAGGAGAAGAAGAGAAGATGAGCACTAGAAGGCCATAAAACCCAAGATGATATTTGTAATTTAAGCTTAAAAACTCATGTTTTATCCTTGGTGGTCTTTGTGTTTTTATTTTGTTAAATTTGTTGAAACTATGGAAGACTTGACACTTGTGAACATTTGACTTTACTCGAGGACGAATAAAGAAACTAAGTGTTGGGGAGTTGATAATCATGTAATTTCCATGTGTTTGTTTGTATTTTTAATTAGTTTTGATTGATTTTTACTTTGGAAATTACACACTTTGGTGTAATAGTTTAGTTTGTTAAATTCTTGTAAATTGTTTAGATTAGGTTCATTTTGAGCTCAAACAGGTCTTGATCACTCAAAGGACAGTTGGTGAACCCCAAAAGTGGAAGAAAGGTGCATAATCTCAAGAGAAAATAAAGATCCTGAATTTTTGGTCTATACCCGGTCGGGTATCATCTATACTCGATCGGGTATCTTGTTGAAACTTCAAATCGGATCGGATCCGAAGACAAAGGAACATGCAGAGAAGATTTTGACCACGATCGAGTGTCTATACCCGATCAGGTAGACCGACATACCCGACCGGGTATGCCTTTGAGTATAGCTCGAATATCATTTTCTACACATACTCGATCGGGTATAAAAGCACACCCGATCGGGTATACCTATAGAACATAGCCCATAATCGATCGAGTATACCTCGAATCTGGCATTTCACACATACCCGATCGGGTACCGTGTATATACCCGATCGGGTACCCGAGCTGCATCCCAAGAGCCTATAAATACACCCCTTTTCCTTCACAATGAGATATCCAATTCCTATATACTTCTAAGCTCAGTCTAGAATAGTTCTTTATATTTTCTTCATGTTTAGTCTCCAAATGAGGAGCTAAACTCTTCCAACTTGGTTTTGCTACTTTGAAGCTTAATGAATTTGTAAGTTGTGAGTTATTTTCTTTAATCTTATTCCTTGAATATTAATTATTTCATATTCATATTTCATATTAATATTTTGAGCATTACTTAAAGGATCAACTAGTTTTGTTTCATATATTAATTATTACTAGAATCAATCGATTAATACGCTTGTTATTATTTCGGTTCTTTCAACGGTAGTAAAACTTGGATTATTAATGCATGCGTCTCATGGTTAATAATCTAAGGGGGGTTAATTATATTGATTAAACCAATAAATCGCTTGTGTTGAGGTTATCAAGCTCAATCGTTTTCATCTTAAGTTTATTGCTACTATCGGGATAATATACGGCGCGTGTTCTATATTGACTCGGTAGTAAGTTTTATTAATGAACGCGTCTCGTTATTAATAACTACCCTCGATTAACTGGATATACTCCTCGATTGAGTATTCGAGAGGAAGATAGTTAAAGATATAACCGGGATCGACGAACATTTCATTAAGTGGATAAAAGCAAAACCAAGTTCTCATCTCTATTAATTAAACTCATATAAGTTATTCATCTTAATGTTTAAATACATTTTTAATCACCCAATCAAAACCCTCCTTGTTACTATTCATATAAAAGAAAAGTATTTATTTCCCTGTAAATACGAACATTACTTCGTTATACTACGTATATTCATTGTATTGTATTTATTTTGAGTGCCCGTTAGAATTTTTTAGGTAAGAATTTTTTTGATCTATGTTATTCAAGAGACCAAAGGAGTATCGATCATTTCAATTTTGTGGGCAGCTATCATCAAGTTGCCTGTTGGAGTAGGAGGTTCTATTTGTGTTCCATTCGTACCTAATCCCCACCGTATAAAATCCAGCCTTGAACATCATCTGTGGTCGACCATGCAGCCCAATCAAACAAAACTGAATCTTGGCTGATACTTGCTGTATTATTCAGGTACAGCGGAATCCATCGATCGACCATCGATTTCGGCCCGTTTCTCTTCCACCGATTCTTACTACGCTGTGCTGACTGTTCTAAATCTCTGCCGCTTCTCTGGGTCACCGCCGAAAACAATGGAGAGGGAAAACAAGAAAAATCTGCCGGAGATTGATACCCAGAACAACATTACAATCAAAGGAATCATCGGAATGCTAATGGCGAATGTCGAAGCTAATAAGGATGGCAAAAAGGTGATACCTTTGGGGATGGGTGACCCCACGGTTTATTCATGCTTTCACTCGCCTTCTCTGGCTCAACAAGCTGTTTCTGAGACCCTGTTTTCCGGCAAGTTCAATGGCTACTCACCCACCGTCGGCCTCCCTCAAGCCCGAGAGTAAAAATCCTTTTCCTATTCCTCGTATTAAGCTACTGTCATATGAACTAAATTAAATCTCCAGTTCTGTTGATATATGTAAAGAAATGGAATTGAACAGGGCAATTGCAGAGTATTTGTCCGGCGACCTGCCGGAAAAGGTGTCGGCGGACGATGTATTTGTAACCGCCGGCTGCACTCAGGCCATTGAAACCGCGCTGTCGATTCTTGCGTTCCCTGGCGCCAATATCTTGCTTCCAAGACCAGGGTTCCCGATTTATGCTCTCTGTGCTGCTTTTAGACACCTTGAAGTCAGATACTTCGATCTTATCCCGGAGAAAGGGTGGGAGGTGGATCTGGATGCAGTTGAGTCTCTGGCGGATAAGAACACAATTGCAATGACGATTATTAACCCAGGCAATCCATGTGGAAATGTCTATACTTATCAACATCTAAAACAGGTTTCCTTCCATCTATGATGTTAGGATTAGTATGAAAATGAAGAAAAAATAGCCTTATTAAATGTTCTCATTTTCTATTTTAGTAAATAATTAGAACTTCTAAATAATAACTTAGTTATAAAATTTTAAAAGATAATTATATTTATAACATTACAATCATTATCAGTAATATATACCATTAAAATTACTCCTTTACATATACTTGAATTAATATACTACGTATTTAATTATTGGGTATGTGTAATTTTGTAATGAAACCCTTTGAACAAGATGAAGACAGTACTTTGAAGTTATTACTCGTATACCTTCTTTGTGTACACCTTCTTATAAACATCGGGACATCCCCGTGTTTGTGAGAGTTATTTTTGTCAGGCTTATTTTGTTTGTGAAAAATTCTACAGACAAAGCAAGTCTGTTTTTGTTTGTGGACAGGGATTCACGGACAAAAAAAACTCTCACAGACTCAAGAGTGTACTGATGTATATAAGAAGGTGTATTAAAGGAATTTTTGACTTTTTATATCGGTTACATTTTTATACTCTAACACTTAAATGAAGGATGACATGACTGGTTTTTAAGATGTACGTATTTGACAAATGAAGTACCGGTTTTAAAAAATTTCTCCCTCGGTCCTTTTTGAATTAGCCGATTTTGACTCTTTCAATTAAATTAAATGTGCCAGGTAAGCCGTGTTGTTCCAAAAAAAAAAGTGCCAGGTTGATTCTTTTGTTAGCCTTACCATCCGCTCAGGAGCTACATATGCTCTGCCCTTTCGCTTTCAGACCCCTCTTTTTCTCTTCAAAAACTCTTTAATCAAACACATAATTGTTGGTTTCACACGCTGAATTATGTAATAATAAGAAAAGGTAAGATTGAAGTTAATTTTATGGTTGTATTGGCTAAAGTTACCGTAGACGATTATTTTAGCTATTTTATCATATAATTTTTCTATATTTTTTTATAAAATATATTTTAAATATAATTTTTTCATAAATCAGCAGAATCAGTCGATACAGCACTTCAGACAGAACTACATAAATTTTAACAGAATTAGTCAATTCAACTGATTTTTGTGTTACCAAATAGGCTTTAAACATTCTTATATGAAAATATTTATAAGCTGAAAATGATATGAAATTGTTATTTGTTAAAAATACTAAAATAAAAGTATAATATTTACAATACTCACCTAAATATAGATGTTAAAGTGGGTGACCAAAGTTTACCATCATGATAATTAGGATTGAATATGCGAGTAAATTTGTCAAAATCTTTAAATTAAAAAAGTGTGAATCATTCTTTTATGGGAGAACTATCAAATAAGCCCTCGAACTTTCGTAAAAAAAGCAAATACGCCTTTTTATATGAGGCTTTGTCCGGCCGTCGTCATTTGGGGCGGTTTTCGATGGAATTTTTTGATGAAATTGTTTGAGCATCTTCTTCATTAAGTCTAGTTTATCCATACCAAATTTCAGCTAAAAATTCAATCGAGAAGGCAGTCAAATGATTTTCTGAAATATACTACGCTTTCTAACTGTGCAGTTATCTTCAAAAATTCATTTGACTGCCTTTCCAATTGAATTTTTAGCTGAAATTTGGTATGAGTAAACTAGACTTAATGAACAAGATGTTCAAAATTTCATCAAAACATTCCATCAGAAACCGCCCCAAATGACGACGGCCGGACAGAGCCTCCTATAAAAGGGCTTATTTGCACTTTTTATGAAAGTTCGAGGGCTTATTTGATAGTTCTCCCTTCTTTTATTGGACGGTTAAATTTGCTCATAGAAGGAGTCCTACACATGAATAATCATGTAATGCTCTGTATAACTCGGGGTGCTTAACACATTATTTAAACATGTATTAATACGCTGAATTTCTATATCACGTGTGGGTGGAGCTAGGGGTGGGCCAACCTAGACCATGACCCACCCCAAATTTTAAAAATGGCTTAATTTTTAAGGTAAAAAATTTCGTGTAAATTTTTTTCTAAAAATATTCTTCGTAGCGGCCCAGTCCGGCCCATTAATCTGGCTCCACCCCTATAATATCACGATTTGTTGTATTAAACTCTCTTTTTACCATATTCAGATTACTGAAAGTGGAAAAGTCATTACAGAAAATGTGTTAACCTTTCATTCACAAAACATGAAAATGTAGAAAAACGAGATGGTACAGAAAATGTCTAGTGACTCTCTAAAAGTGAAAAGTTTGTGATTATTAACTATGTCTTGAATGTTCCTGATTGAATTTTATGCATTTGTTATGAAAAAGATTGCAGAAACGGCAAAGAAGCTGAAACTCATTGTGATTGCGGACGAAGTGTACGGGCACCTTGCATTTGGGGCTACCCCTTTTGTCCCAATGGGAGTTTTTGGGTCCATTGCTCCTGTGCTTACTCTTGGGTCTTTGTCAAAGAGATGGCTAGTGCCCGGATGGCGCCTTGGTTGGCTAGTCATAAATGATCCTAATGCCATTATTAAAACACCCAAGGTCTCTTCACCTAACTTACCTTCCTCCTACTTATTTAGTACTCCCTCCGTCCCAAAAAGGTTGATCAAAGTTGACTTTCACGTGGATTAATAAAGTAAAAATTGTGTGGTTGAAATTTGTGCAGGAGAGAGAGAATTAATTTTAGCCACATATTCAATACTTTAAATGGAAATGACAAATCTTTTTGGGACATCCAAAAAAGGAAATTTGGCCAACCTTTTCGGAATGGAGGGAGTATTTCCTCCCATTTTATCATTTTAGTATGTTCCAAAAATACTTAACGGTTACTTTAGAACACATTTGATAATTCTGAAATTGATTGAATTAGAAGGAGTATTATTCTATTTAAAGCTGAATTTATGAGTAAATCGAGTGAATTTGCTAGATCAGAATGGTGAGAGTGTGAGTAGTGTTGATGATGGTATGGTTGAATTATGAAAAACTTACTTTCTCCGACTCAAGATAATTGTCACCTTTTGTTTTAGCACAAAATTTAATGAAGTGGTTCAAAAGATAAAACATGTAGTTCAAGTTCGAGTAGAAAATGGTGTAATGATATGACCCTATATTATTGTCAAACTTTTTTAAGACATTCTAAATGTAAAACAAAATTACTATTTCAAGACTGAGGGATTATATTTCTAAGATTTTACGTAGCATTAGTAAAATAAAGAAAATGATATTTGAATAGAGCTGCGAAAATCGGCTTCATCAAATTCAGCCAATTATACTATAAAAGTAACTTTAACATTACTTATTTGGGTTATAACAGAATTCAGCACTCGAAATTTAAAGTTTAAAGTTTGATAAAAGGGTGGTTTATAAGCCACTTTTATATGGTCGCAATCCTAAAAACGTGATACTCCCTCTGTCCTAAACTCATTTTTCAATTTGGCGTACACATGACATATTTATGTGAGATAAAGTTTTTCATTACATTTTTGAGTATATCCTTACTTAAATAAAACCAAAAGTAAATAAAAAGTAAGATTGATCATCAACTTTAATATTTGAAAATGTAAAGTTTTTTTTGTTTTGTTAGGCATATCTTTTCCATTGACCCATCGATATTGCCTTTTGCCTTCATGTTTTGTCAGTTTCTTGGCCGCATTAAAAAGTACTGCGACATTTGTGGTGGTCCTGCCACATTTATACAGGTACACACACTTCTTGATAGGGAATAGTGCATTTTTTCCTAATCAAGATTTTTTCGAGTCATTTGAAATGGAACCAAAGATTCAATATTTTTTGGATTGAGATATGGAATAAAGCATAATGACTCACTAAATTGTCTGCGCTTCTTTGTTATGAAGCAGCAGTCAGTCCATGCAATTTTAGATGAGATTTTCACTATGGGTCATCCGGAAACAGTCTCTCTGTGCTTTAATACAGGGGTAAGACTGCATACATACGACCCCTTACCTCACCTTAGGTGGGAGCCGCCTTTGTGGCACTCGGGTAAATGAAAATGAAAATGATAGAATGACTCTGTTTCCCCTTTTAGGCGGCTGTTCCTCTTATAATTCAGCAAACTGAAGAGGATTTCTTTAAGAAGACAGTTGCAATGTTAAAGCTGACTTCGGACATGTGTTTCGATAAGATTCAGGAGATTCCTTGTCTTACATGCTCACATAAACCACAAGGATCAATGGCTTTAATGGTGAGATATTGTGAATATTTGTGGAATTCCATTCAAAAAATTATGGAATTACTCCTTAAAATCACTTTAACTTTCTTACGTTTAGATTTAAATATTAAAGATATTTACTATAAATAGTAAACCATATGTCATGTGCACAATTAAGATTTAAGAATATCTTTGTATTTTGTAAAACACAGAACTCATTCAAATCTAAGGATTAAAAGGGATAAAAAGTAATTCATAATTATTTTGTAAAACACAGCCTATTATTGAAAGAAAATAAGACTGGATCTCTGGTGCGCACGGGAAAAAGGTCTACCATCATTGGAGCGACTGAGTCACCGTGATTAACATCATCCCAAAAATCCTGTCGGGTCGGGGTATGGGGGCTCCTGGGGTGGGAGATTCCTTCCACCTTTTGGACCAAATTGAAAGAAAATAACATGTCTAATCGAACATACACGGTATGTGTTAGGGGCACAGAATCATGTTACTAGGTACGGAGTATGTTTTAGGAAAAAATAATTCATATAATACCTCAAAATTTGGGAAGGTGTGAACTTAAAATCTCAAGCCTAATACACAGTTGGCACCCTAAACATAGAAGCTATTCATTTGTACAGAAATTTAAGTGTCTATGACTACTCTATTCTACTCATTATTAGGATGTCTTCTTTTGGATTGAAATTTGCTAGTCTGGTCTGTTTAAGTTTGGTATGGTCTGGTTTGGTTTGGTCTGGTACACGTCTGGTCTCTGCATGTTTTATAGTTGTCCAAGTCTGATCTGGTCTGGTCTGATCTGTTTAAGTCTAGTTTGGTCTGTTTAAGTCTGCTGTGATCTGATCTGTAGGACTGAAAACAATCCAAAAGAAAACATTCTCAACTTGTTCGGTGACTTTGGTCTGACCTAGTATTTAAGTTTGACGTGGGCTAAGATAGTCTACTTTAGTGAAACTTGATATTAGTGAAATTTACCCCTTCTACCTCTGTGCTAAAAAGTTTAATGCCAAAAACCCTCGCAGAATGCGCAGTACCCATTTACCACAAAACTCGCGGCTATAGCGGCCGCCACAACCTTCTCCGCACCACTGCTATAGCGGGCGCTATAGCCGCTACACCCAGGGGCGGATCCAGGAATGAAGAGTGGGTGGGGCTTAGCAGGAAAAAAATTGTTATTGCAAACAAAAAATTTAGCTTAGACTGCTTAGGGCCGTAATCGAATTGAGTTTTTTTCAAACTACACGAATTCGAGCGTGATTTCGAATTTAATTTAGCGATCTGAGCTTAAGAAGCTTTTTTTAACTCGAACACGAGCTAGATTTTGAGTTCGAATAGTTGTTCAAGCTGAGTTCGAGCATAGTGGTATTTGGTTTGATCCGGACTCGAGTCTATCAATAACTCGTAAATTATAGGAATAAATTTTATTTATCTTAAAATTTAAACATTTTCATTGCAATTTTTTAAATATATTTGAACACTAAAAAAATAGAGTTCATATATCTATTTTATTCAAGCTGAGTTTGAGCATAAATTAAATTAATAATCAAATAGAATTACATAACTATTAAATAAAACTAATGCACAAAATAATAGATTAAAAGAGTATAAGAGTATGTGTGGATGGCTGGACAACTAGACTGGGCTAGAGGCAGCTAGTCGGACTCGAATAGACTAGAGGGGCAGAGCCACAACGAGCTACAAGCTGGAGTGTCGGACTCCAGAGGGGACAAGAAAGCAGGTGGCGGCGCGGCTGGGTGCCTGTGTTTGTGACATCGTGGCTTCGTCGCTTTACTGAGTTGAGTCCTTCCCGCTTCTGCTTTGTGCTTGTTAGTCGCTTTATAACAAAAGTATACTTCTACAGTTCTAAAAATCACAAATAGTAGTTCTTACCATGCTTGTTGCAAAAATTAGAACTAGATAATGAACTGGGTGATGGAAAAAGCATAATTTTAATAATAATAATAATAATAATAATTTTAATAATAATAATAATAATAATTATAATAGAAATAGTATATGACCAAATAAGGATAGTTGATAAAGAGTAACTTAGTTATTTTAATGATTATAATTATGTTTAAATTTTAATGCTTATAAAAGTTACTCATGGTGACTTGGGTCAAATAATAGTAATATTCATATAATAATAACAATATTATAATAATAATATAATATTAATCATAAAATTTATGTTGTAAAATAATATTGTAAACTTGTAATATAAAGTGCTTTCATTGATGGTGTGGGTGAGTGGGTGAGATGGGATTGCATAATTTGCAGCTGGCTCCAAACACCAACTACATAGGATTGTTTAATACTCCGTATGTAAAGTTTTGCTCCTCAATTTATCTCACACCGACTGCAAGGATGGTTCACCCTCCTGAGTGTCCTATATATAAATCACTTCTTGGTGCAATCACACCAAGCTCTATTATTACGCATCGGGATCATTTGTTCTCATGACTATGGGCTTTAAACAAAGTTTGGGCAGCCTTTTGCTTTTAGAGCTTCTTAGAACACTTCCTTGTAGACTTGGGGTGAGATGAGTTTTAATTTTTGGGTGAGCTGAAAATTTAATCTCTTTCTATACTAACAAAAAAATTGGGTTGGGCTGGGCTAGAGCCCACCCTAGGCCCTACATAGATCCGCCCATGGCTACACCCAAACGCCACGCTACAGCCCTCCTGGTAGCACCTTCCATGTCTGCCGCTCCCCTAAACCGCTATAGCGCCGATATTAACATCACTGCTGGATATTACGTGTGTTTACAATATTCACTTTTGGCCTGGTTTGGTTCAATTTGATCTATTATGGTTTGATTTATTATGTTCTCTACTCTAAATATATCAGACTTGAGACTAATATAAGTCCTAGGGAATAACTAGTTCATTGCTTCTTTGAAAAAAAAAATACTACGTATAAGTCAATCATGCTTTAATCACTTCTAATATAAAGTTTAGTATATTTAGTTTAATGTTGGGTATCACTAGTTCAGACATTCGCCTGATTGGGGTATTTGAATGAAGTTAACCCATTGTGTGGTCTTGCTCATGAAAATATCTCTTAAAATCAAATCATGAATCCAGGTAAAGCTGAATTTGTCCTTGCTAAGAGACATAAGTGATGATATTGACTTCTGCTTCAAACTGGCCAAAGAAGAATCTGTTATTATTCTTCCAGGTAATAATATTATACATGTGCATTAGAGAACTTATTACCTTGCATTATCAGGTAAATTCCAAGTTAAGGATACATTTGGAATGTTACTAGAGCATATAAAAATCGTATATGAGACACAAATGGATATTTTTGCAGGTTTGGCTGTGGGTCTCAAGAACTGGGTTCGAATTACTTTTGCTGCAGAACCAACTTTTCTTAAGGAAGCACTGGAAAGGATAAAGTCTTTTGCTCGGAGGCATTCATATGGGAACTAGCTGTTAGTGCACAGAGGAAGCCTGCCTTCTATACAATTTAATAATTGTACTTTGATGCACATCCGAGTAGTGTTAGTGCTCCAAAACTTTGTACTCTATTTCTGTTAATAGTACCCGATAATAAATATGAATAAGAATAAGATCATAATTTGTTGTATAAATATTAATCGTTATAAGAAGTCTCACACACACAAATATATATGAAAAAATTTGTGACACAAAATTTTGTCACATTTTGTCGTGTAAAGTGAATAATTATGATGATATTTATCAAAGCTTGTACTCTATAACTTTAATATAGACAAAATTTCTTCACATTTCACTTTATTATACTCAATTCTCAATCACAACTTCTACTTTTTCAATCACTTTACAAAAAATTGTGTAAAATCAAATGAGATACGTATTACATAAACTTGATGGGACTGAGGTAGTAATAGTTATAAAATTGAAATTCATCATTATAAAGTGAATAGTTATGTTTGCCAAAAAAAGTGAATAATTATGACAATAGTTGCGAGAACTTGTACTCTATTTTGCTAATAGGATAATAAATACTACTCCCTCCTTCCTGAATTGCAAATTTTGACCAGTACATGAATTAAGGAATTACAAAAATGATGCTTGCTTTTTACACTTTTGCTCATCTTCCTAAAAGTAGATGCCTTTAATTAATGGAAAAAAAGTAAAAGTAAGGGTAATTTTGTCACTTTATTTTTATTTACATACCTAAAATATAAAGTTGAAAACCATTTTGAGACAATCAAAATAGGAAATTTTGCCGATCAAATTGGGATGAAGGTAGTAGTGTAGTACTGCATACTACATAGTATGAATAAGTCAATACTCTAGTATAAATATAAACGAACTTGTACTCTATTTTGCTAATAGTACCCTATAATAAATACTAGTATGAATAAGTCAATACTCTTTAGTATAAATATAAATTAATACACTACAAAAAACAGTGTTTTGTTGGAAATTTATTGAGAAATGGAGCTCAAGTGTTCGTTCAACATGATATTTCAAACATTTTCTTAATAAATATTGCCTAGCTCTAATTATTAACGATAATGTTAGAGAATATTTGATTATAGTTATTATTATGAAATTATGGTACTACATTATTATTAATTTAGTTACCATAATTTAATTAATAATGAGAATAATTAAATATTTAAAAATAATGGTTGTGTAGCGAGACACGTACATTAAGTAATCAAAATCAAAACTGATTTCATTCCTACGTACTTTATTAATGTTTTTTAAAAAGGATGCAGCCTTTTTTAAGGTTGACATCTCTTCGTTTGTTACAAACGAATGTACACAACCATTGAAGAGAGTTGCCATTTTACTCCAATGCTACGATGTGCACGGTTCACATGAAACATGAGAGAGATAAACACAAAATATTGATTTTATGACATTTCTCTAGGACGGGTGGTTCTTCCCATTTCGATAGATGTTTTTGTGTTTGGTGAAGGGGAGGGTTTCTTACTTGATTGTTCGACCTCTCAACGAGAACACCAAATGATGGATAGTGTACCCGGGGGTAGCTTATCCGATGGGTTATTTCGGGGAATAACTAGAGAGAAGTCAGAGCAATAAGTATAGAGAGAATATGTATTCAGTCTGTGAATTTGTGATCAAGTTGTGATGCCTTACAATGAAGAAAAGGGGTTGCTATTTATAGCAGCAATAAATGCTAGATAGGGAGACGTGTCAATAATCTGATGGTCGAGGGGGCACCTCAACCGGGGTGGCACCGGCACTCGCATATGGCCGCATTAAATGCGGTGGTTGGATGTGACATTTGTACTTGGTACGGTGATCCAGCGCATGTGGAGAGGAGATTCTGTCGAGGAAGACGCCTTTGGCTCTGCCTACTGTGCCGAAGGCTCCATGGGTCGGGGGCCTCTATGTGCCGAGGGCTGCAGGTAGCGAAGGCTTGGTTTTCAAGCCTTGATCTCCTGCGATGTTCCTGAGCCCAATTCTGTCATCGGTAGCCTTCGGTCATGGGGCCGAAGGCACTTCCCTATGTATTGTGGGCTGCTTAGAGCTTCATTTTGCTGTTCTTGGCCCGTGTTGGGCCTGTTGGGCCTGATTGCGGTAGTGGGAGTACGTGGGTCGGGGGTCCCCGGGCCATATACTCCATCAGGAGTCCCTCACTCCTTTTGTCGAAAGGTACTTGAAGGAAAAGGAGTAAATGTGTTTGTCCTCTGATGTTGGCGTTTACCTCGTTGCAGTTTGTAGAGTTGTGAGAGGTTTGCGTTGGCTGTTTTACCGAGGGCAGTCCCCTCAGTCCCCCACACTTTGGGACTGAAGGGTTTTGTTGATGTTTTAGGGAACTGTCAACATTTTTATGATTTTCCTAAGGGGGTTCTCCAGTCTCCCACTCCTTGAGGCATATGTAATGTGGTGAAAAAGAGTAGAACAGTGCTTGCCTTCATTATAGGACCAAGGGCTGACATTTTTTGTTTCATTTTGGGGGGATGCCTCGTTAAAAACCTCATTAGGAAAAACCCTGTGGGAAAAAATCCTAATGAGGGAAAAAGAATGCACCTAGTTCCCCCAATAATGAATCGAAAAAGATGGACCCTTGGTCTGGGTATGATGCTGATGCCGAAGATTCCCCTTGATCTGAGGGCTTGCTTGATGATTTACCGAAGGTACCTTATTGATGTCCGAGAGACGCCGAGGGGGGTCCCCTGGTTTTTATGCCGGGGGCTTACTGTTGATGAGGGTCAAAGGTTCCCGTGGGGTTCCCCCATTTTGAAGTTGGGGGCTTTACTGTTGATGAGTGGTTTTTTAATATGGCAGCCCGAGGGCTGGCCACATTGTTGCGCGAAGGGGATCGACTGGGGGCACCTCCGGGTTCTCAAAAAATAACCATTGGAATATGGCCGTTGGAGAGGGCTTCCACGTGGCGCGTGCTCGTTGGCTGTCTGTGGGCGAGCGTCACCGGTTGGTTGAACCGTCGGTTCGTAAGGATGACTTTGGCATCCGGGGGCCCGGGTTTCGGCCCAAGCCCGGATTGAGGAGTCTATAAATACCCCATGGCCTGACCCTTTCTCCTTGTGCGATATGTGTTGCCTTAGCAAAGCTCTGCCCAATTTGTTTCTAGAGAGAGAAAAAACATTTCATTCGATCAAAATCATCTCCCCGAGGTTAGTTCTTATCTTGTTCTTCGCCTCAGTAGTATATTTAGCGTTGATTCCTTAGTCGTTAGTGTTTTAGTGGCCTTAGGGAATTTTCCTTTGTCACGCATTTTGCCACCTTCGGTCCGAAAGATGTCCTCAACAAGCGATTCCCAAGATACCTCCCGGGAGCCTTCTGTTGAGGAAGAGAGTATCACAGACGTGGAGTCTGCTAGTGGACAGCCTTTGGTAAGTGGTGATTCCGCCATCGCTATGGAGGTGCAGAAGGACCTCGTGGCCGAAGCCGAAGCCGAGAACTTCCAGCAAGTAATTGAAGATGAGGAGATGGCCCTCGTCGTGCAAACGGCTGAGGAGGAGGAGGAAAAAGAGCGTTGGAAGGTCACCATATCTATTCCATCGGCCATTGCAATTGGGGAAGGGACTCCACGAGCCCTCAGTCCGGAGCCTCTTAGAGCTGCGCCCTCGGTGAAGGGCAAGAAGAAAATGAGAGCTCCCAAGAAGAAGGGGATTGTTGCAGACCAAGGGAAACCCGTCGATCTGCCGGGGGGTTACTGATTCTTGAACACCGCCGCTCTCGAGTTGAGGTCGAGGGCTGATAGGGCGGAGTGCTATGTCACGCAGTTGCACGTCGGGCCTTCGGCTATCGTGGTGCAACCGGGACCCGATGATGTTCTCTCCCGGGCTCCCGAGGGGTGTATTGATGTCCACGTTCTTTCGGTTTCCCTGGGCCTCCGGTTCCCCCTGCACCCTTTTCTCCGTGAATATCTCCGGTTCGTGGGTCTAGTCCCTTGCCAACTCACCCCCAACAGCCACTCGTACATCACCGGCTTTCTGCACCTTTGCCGGTCCCGGGGGTGGCTCCCAGCCTCGACTTGTTCTTTCAGAGTTTCAATCTCTGTCGGGGGGCCATGAGAATTTTGAGGGCTTTGCGAACTTGCAGCAGATTGCGAAGTGGAGGTTGTTTACAGAGGCCCCCTCGTCGCACAAAGGGTGGAAGGACCGGTTTTGCTATGTCAGGCTGATCGAGAATCCATTTCCAAGGGAGTTGCGGGATCATTTTAGACAGCAGGAAAAAGTGGAGAGTGCCGCCCTCAAGAAGGTTGCCAAAAAGCTTGCCAAGATCCCGGAGGGGCGTGAGAAGAATGTGACGATCGAGGAGTCCACTCTCGAGGAGGATTTGTATCTCATTGGCTTCCGGCGCTGTCGTTTCCTGGGGGAGATGGATGAGGAGTACCCCATTCTTGAGCGAGCCTTCGAGGGCACAGGAGGTGATTACCGAGGGATCTCACTCTGTACTTGGAGAAATTTTCTCGTAGCCTAATCCACGTCGTTGTAGTTGATCTCTCTTCCTAACAATTTTTGTTGTCTTGTAGGTACCAATATGGACATCAACTCATTTGCCGCTTTAAAGAAGCAAAATCATCACCTCGTGTACGCAGACGACCTGCGGACACGAATGCCGTCAAGTGGTAGGGAGGATATGATTTAAGATTTTCAATTGAAAAAGCTTATAATAATAGTTATATTATTAATAATAACAGACTTCTATCTATCTATAAATCTATAATCTATCTATAAATAATATAAAGTAACAAGGTGTAGCACCTTGCTTTTCCCTCCAATTAGACATTTAATGCTTCATACCCATTAAAAATAAGAGTTACATTAATAATTAGCATTAGCAATTAGTAATAATAATAGTAGTAGTAAATAGTAATATATTATTGAGTAATTTGAATGTTTTCAATTTAAAATCTATAAATAATATAAAGTAACAAGGTGTAGCACCTTACTTTTCACTCCAATTAGACATTTAATGCTTCATGCCCATTAAAAAAAAGAGTTACATTAATAATTAGCATTAGCAATTAGTAATAATAATAGTAGTAGTAAATAGTAATATTAATGGAGTATTAACTCCTAGAGAGAAGTGAGAGCTAGAGAAAGAAGTGCTGTAATTGTTTTGTATTAATGATTTGTGAACCCCCTACAACTACCCCAAGGAGAGTATTTGTAGAGGAAATTAGGGT